GAGAAACGTTACCACACGTTCTTGCTTTGAATATTAAACAAAAAACCAAACAAACTGAGTAGTACGTTACCATTTGTGGTGTCTCCTTCAATATTGGGTCGTTGAGATCGACGTCGTCGTCTTCTTCCAAACGAACGTTCAAATCAAATGGATTAGCCATTGCAGTAGAGAATGAGTGGACAAGGAAAGAGTGGACCACGGCAAAGAGTGGAAAGATGAACAGGTTCAGATGGAAAGGTGAGCACCAGTTAAATGGGAAAGATGATGGACCATCGGCCAGACCACACGACAGCGCGCTCGCGGCCGAAAAAATGATTCAAAAACGCGCCATGCAACGAAAACTCGAGCTGCGAAATGCGAGCGTGCACAGCCAAAACGCGCCATGCAACGAAAACGACGCGCCATGCTACGCCGGCGCGCACGGGCAAAATGCGAGCGCGCACGGCCGAAACGGGGGCACGCGAGCGAGCGCATGCAAACGGCCGAAACGCGGGCACGCGAGCGAGCGCATGCAAACGACCCAGCCTCCGCACAGTGCCATGCAAAATGGCCACGAACAAAAAAAGGCGCCTGCGGTGGGATTCGAAACGTGGACCACAGCTTCAGCCCGCCGAGGGCTAGCCACTCGAGATAAGTAAGATTCTTGTATAGAACACATCCATCTTGCTATTTAATAGGGGCAAGGGTGGAAAGATAACCCATAATTAATCACTTCTGAGATACAACAATCATGTCCTAAACGTCAAGTTTTTGGTAGGGAGGGAGCACAGAGGGAGTGGCTTTCCAAATAAAAATTTACAAGTTCCCACGTCATTTAGCTCAGCACTGGGAATCTTTTTTGGACCTGACGGAGTAACAGTAAACATTTAGCTCAGCCCGTCGGCAGGGCATCTTGATTTTTTTATTCTCGGGTGCAGGGCATCTTGATTGATTGTTGTATCATGCTCCCTTCGCCGAATAAATCAATTTTTTAAAATTCGTGTCGGTCAAACTTTTTTAATTTTATTGAAAAAAATAATATCTATGAAATAAAATAAACACCTTATGAAAATATATGTGTTGATAAATCTAATGATACTAATTTGACATCATAAATCTTCGTCCTGTTCGTTTGGGCTTGTTTGACTGATAAGCTATGACTGAAAGTACTGTTGGCTGATTTGATGTGAGAGAAAAGTACTGTTTGTTGGCTGAAAAAGTACGGCTTATAAGCACAATAAATCTAAACGAACATGGTGCTTAACTTTTTTTTTTTTAGAAATTCGGCGTCGCCAATGATGTCGAGGATGGCAGGCAGCCAGCGCACGAGGGTCTTGTGGTGCTTCTCCCTGCCCTCCATCACGTTGTACTGGTCCAGGAGTGAGCTGGACATACACCTTCTCCTTCAGCAGGGACACCAGCGGGGCGACCACCAGGCTGGCCGCTAGTTCAGCCATTGGAGCGAGCGCTCAGCAGAGTTGTTGAGAACACACAATGGTAGGGTGTGGACAAGCTGAGAGCTCTCTCTGGTAACTCGTACTCCTACGTAGTTAAAGCATGAGAAACCTCCTTTCGACGATTCCCTCTCGAAAAGAACGTGCACTTAACCACTCGGAATTATTGCTTCCAAATGGTTTGGTAGCACGTCGCTCTCTCGTGCTCGTCCGGTCGCGTCGACGTCGGCAATAATGGAGGGCCAGGGGGACAAGGTCACATGGCCGGCAGCCAGCCACCCTTGACTGACTGCTATCGACACAAAAATCTCTTAGGAGTCGCGTATGCCACGCTGCCAGCGATTTTCATTGATGGCCAAGGGACTGTCGCGTGGGCTCGATCACCCCAAGCCCTCGTTTAGTTTCCCAAATTCTCAACTTTGGCACTGTGTAAAAAGAAGATTTTTCATTATATCAAATTTGCGGTACATGTATGGAGTACTAAATATAAATGAAATTAAAAACTAATTGAACAGTTTGATTGAACTTTGCGAGACGAATCTTTTGAGCCTAATTAGTTAATGTTTGGACAATAATTCACAAATACAAACGAAATTGCTACAGTATTTACCGTCCCAACAAATACTGCGCAAGTCCCCAAAACCACCGTATGAGTCGCTCCTCATGTTCTATTTTTATTCTTATTACTACTACGATCATATGCGCTGGGAATCCTCGGCCCCAAGCGTCTGCAGCTGCTCCAGGACGAGTACAAGCTCCAGAAGGGCGTGAGGAAGAAGGTGCAGTGGCTCCACAGTGAGCTGGAGGGCATCCACACCTTCCTCTGCAAGGTCTCTGAGGCTATCCGCACCGCGACCTGCAAACGGCCCGGCACCGCACGTCTACAAAACAGCCGGCAGCGTACCGGCCGTACAGTACAGCGCTACTCTCAGCGCGCGTGCAGCACGCACGCTATACACTGTAGCGTAGAGAGAGAGAGAGTTGGTGAGAGAGAAAGGGGGAGAGAGAAGAATAAAATATGGAATAGTGAGTATAGAGTATGGGATAGAGATAACACGGGTACGGAAGAAATAGGTATAGAGTAGAGAATCTCGATGACTAGAATGAGTGCGGATAACCTGATGCGCCATAGGACCGGCTCGACGAGCAGGTGAAGGTGTGGGCACGCGAGGTCAGGGAGGCATCTTACCACGTGGAGCATGTCCTCGACACTTTCCTTGCGCGCGTCGATGCCGCCGACCCCAGCAGGCTGAAACGCGCCATGAAGAAGATGGGTAAAGTGTTCGGCAAGGCCAAGGCTCGTCGCAATATAGCTGGTGCCATCGAAGACATCAAGAAGCATCTCGAGGAGGTAGCCGAAAGGCGTCAGAAGTACATACTTGATGACATTATGTGCAAGCCACTCGCAACAACGTCAACTATTGATCCTCGCCTTAAAGCTATGTACAAACAAGTGACGCAACTTTTTGGCGTCGACAAGTCAAGGGATGAGCTCGTATCCATGCTGACGACGTTGCAACCAGATGATGGTACCTCGAACCAGGACATGAAGAAGGTTTCTATTGTTGGAGTTGGAGGATTAGGAAAATCCACCCATGCCAAGGCGGTGTATGAGAAGCTTAAGTCACATTATGACTGCGGGGCTTTCATTTCAATTGGTCGGGATTATGACTTGGTAAAAGTTTTCATGGATATTCTCTTTCATCTTGACGGTGAAAAGCATATAAGGACATTCACAACACTGGAAGAGGCCTCGAGCTCCTCATTCACCAACTTCGAGAATTCCTGAAGAAAAAGAGGTAACACAGACACTCAATTATAAATTGTAATTAGCCAGTGCCTTTTAAGATATTGCTCCACAGTTACTCGATGCTACACTATGTTGTAGGTTATACTAAAAATGTTATCTCCGTATCATTTATGCCAGACTACTTCTTGAGATTGATTTTTCTCCACTCCATGCATACAAGAAATGCATTTATCCAGTAGTCTCTACCTAACAGCTTCTAGCTCATTTTTTAAGTGTGTTGCTTTTAGACTACTATAAAAGGGCAATGCATTTAGCACTTCTAAACATCATAATTTAAGTAAATTCGTAAACATTTCCAATTATGAATCGAGCTTAGATTTTGAAAACGTGTTTCATATCTGAAACTATAAATCTTAGGAAAAACACTTTCTGAGAACCATCCAGATGACATTTCTGAGAAAATTCTAAAGAAATGTGCTGGTATACCATTAGCAATCATCATAATGGCTAGTTTGTTGGCTGGTAAACCAGAGTGTGAATGGTCAATATGATTCGTAAGCTTGCATTTGAAGAAAACTTTATTGCTCTATTAGGTGATAATATTGAAGCAACAGCTGGACGAAGCAGCAACGTTCCCTGGCATGGGCGCGGCCACCCGGCCGCTGCAAGCGCACGCGGGCTTTTAGTTGGCGCGGGACGCGGGCACGGTCCCGTCGGCTATGAGCCAGGCGTGGGTGCGACCTAGGCTAGAGCAATCTGTTTACGGATGAGAATTGGGTGACATGGTTAAGCTAATGACGATTATTAGGTATAAAAAATAGTATTTTAATATATTTGGTTAAACTTGAAATTGTTTCACGTATCAAAATATGAGACCTGCACTTCTTTCAGCTGGAGAAAGTGCATACTAAAGTTACTGACAGCGTGCAGTGGCTGCTCATTCAAGTACATAAATGCTGCGGACCACAAGTTGCTGTGCAGGGCTTAATATTGTTGGCAGTGCTGACGATGACAGAAACTTCGATTTGTGAATGTGTGATGAGTAAAGATGTCAACGGGCCCGTTCCCCGATTCCCCGCGGGGAATTCACCCATTAGGGAACAGGGATGGTACAAATTTTCTCTCCATGGGGAAAAAATCATCCCCATCGGGGATGACCGGGACGGGGACGGTATGCATGCCCCCGTCCCCGTTCACCGTGGGGACCAAATGCATCTTTGCTTAAGCTAGCTGCTCGCTCAACGCCAGGCTGGGCGGCCGTCATAGCCGCAGAGCTAGGCCAGCGGCTTGCGTGACGTGGGGGCGCAGCTGATGCGCGTGGCCTGACCATCAGCCGAGCCAAGCCGTCGCTTCTGCCTCCTGCTCCTCGAGTCCTCACTCGTCACTTGCCCCTCTCCTCGCCGACGCTTAGTTTCTCCCACTCTCTCCTCTCCCATGCGCCCCAAACCCTAGCTTGCCGCCCCGCCCACAGCCCACCACCCGGTCATGCGTGCCCTCCGCCACGCCCCGCCCGCAGATCCGCCGCAGGCCCCGACCCATGGCCGGAGGAGCTCGCTACGCCTCGGGATTGGGAAAGACAGCACGCCGCCACCAGATCCAGAGGGAGGAGGGCCGTGCCGCTTCCGCCACGAGCCACCAAATCTCCTGCCTCGGATCAGGAGGGAGGAGGGCCACCTCCACCGGATCCCCGCCTCGGGTTCGCGCTGGAGGGAGAAGGAGAGGGGATGCCGCCGGGAGGGGAAGGGGAGAGGGCGGCGGGATGGGGAGGAGGCACCGCTGGGAGGGGAAGGGGAGAGGGGCGTCGGGATGGGGAAGCGATGGCGAGCGGAGGATGCCTAGCTTGGGAGGGTCAGTCTAGGGCGTCGCTCAGTGTGGAGAGGGGTGCTCGGCGTGGGGTGAGGGAGGCCGCGCGCCGTGGGAGGCGGGACCTCCAGGCCGATGCGGGGATGAGGGTGGGGATTAAATCCGGGCTGGACAGGGATGGAAAGAGTGCTCCCGTGAGCCTTCACGGACGGGGGACGGGACGGGACGAGAGAAATTTGCCTCTACGGGGACGGGGATGGGGCAGTAACCCCGACGGTGAATTTTCCGTTGACATTTCGAGTGATGCATTCACGGGACTGACAGCGCGCAGTGGCTGCTCATTCAAGTACATAAATGCTGCGGAACACAAGTTGCAGTGCAGAGCTTAATATTGTTGGCATAGTGCTGACGATGATAGAAACTTGGATGTGTGAATGTGTGATGAGCATTCACGGGACTCAATTTATTCAGTCTGATGGTGAAGTCTCCTCCTAAACAGTGTTTCTATCTGACTTAATTGGCTTGCGTGTGAACGAGATCCACTGCGATGGATCAGCATGAGAAAAGCGTATAAACGCACATACTATGCCCAGCATGCCACTGCAGGCCAGGGGTAGAGGACAGGGGCAGAGGTCCGCGCAGGCCAGCAAGTCAAGTCGTCGGCCCCCACTCACGGCGGAGCAGCATATGTGCGTGAAACGGCGTAAGGCGGCGTTGGATCCAGCGACTAAGGTTCAGGAGTTGGGTCGACATGATGTTGCATACGTATTTAGATATTAATAAAAAAACAAATTACATAATCCATCAGTATTCCACGAGACGATTTTTTTAAGCCTAATTAATCCATCGTTAGCACATGTTTATTGTAGCACCATGTTGTCAAATCATGAACTAATTAGGCTGAAAAAATTCGTCTCGCAAATTTGTCACAAATTATGTAATTAGTTTATATTTAATACTTAATGCATGTGTCAAACATTTAATAGGACAACGACTAAAATTTAGAAGGGACAGCTAAACACCGCTAAGTCGTAGACCCCACGTGGACGCATGTGCTACCAGCGTAGGTATCGAGGCCCATCGAATGGATGGCTGCCTGCCATAGCCCTCCGTCTGCCTGGTTGCTTCCGGGTTAATTTTGCAGCTACTTCATGCCTCCAACTAGACGCCTTGTCACCACCAACCATCAGACTTATGAATCCACTACACTCAGATCTGAAACAAGCAAGGGTAGAAGCATGAGTGTGGTGACCGGGGCGCTGGGAAGCCTCGCCCCCAAGCTTGCGAAGCTGCTCCATGACGAGTATAAGCTCCAGAAGGGCGTGAAGGAGCAAGTGAAGTCGCTCTCCCGCGAGTTGGACAGCATCTACGCTTTCCTCCACAAGGTCTCGGATGTGCCATGGGACCAGCTCGACGAGCAGGTCAAGTTGTGGGCGCGCGAGGTCAGGGAGGCATCCTACGACATGGAGGATGTCCTCGACACCTTCCTCGTTCGCGTCGACGGCGTAAAGAACTCCGACTCCAGCAGCCTCATGACGAAGCTGGGTGAGCTGTTCAGCAAGGCCAAGGCTCGCCGTGATATTGCAGCAAAGATCATGGACATAACAAAGCATCTCGAGGAGGTGGCCAACAATCGTCAGAAGTACAAACTTGATGAGATTATGTGCAAGCCACTCGCAGCAACGTCAACTATTGATCCTCGCCTTAAAGCTATGTAGAAAGAAGTGACACAACTTATTGGCGTCGACAAGTCAAGCGACGAGCTCATGTTTATGTTGAATACATCCCAACAGGATCATGATGCCTCCAATAAGAAGATGAAGATGGTTTCAGTTGTGGGAGTTGGAGGATTGGGTAAAACCACTCTTGCCAAAGCGGTGTATGACAAGCTTAAACCACAATACGACTGCGGGGCTTTCATTTCAATTGGTCGGGATCATGACTTGGTAAAAGTTTTCAAGGATATTCTCTTTCATCTTGATAGTGAAAACCATAAGGACATTCACAACACTGAGAGAGGCGTCGAGCTCCTCATTCACCAACTCCGAGAATTCCTGAAGGAAAAGAGGTAACACAGACATCCAATTGTAAATTGTATTTAGCTTGTGCTTTTAAGATATTGCTCCTCAGTTAGTCGATGCTACACTATGTCGTATGTTATCCTAAAAATGCTATCTCCACATCATTTATGCGAGACTACTTGAGATTGATTTTCTCCACTCCATGCCCTGAGTGCTCTTTTTTTAAGTATGCAGCTTTTAGACTACTTCACTAGCTATGAAAAGGACAATGCATTTAGCACTTCTAAGCATCATAGTTTAATTAAGTAAATTCATAAACATTTTTACGAGCTTAGATTTTGAAAATGTGTTCCTTCTGAAACTATAAATTATAGGAAAAACAACGTTTTAGGGTTGCCTATGTTTGCAACATGGCCATAGATGAGTAAGTTCTGTGTAATAAAGTGTCCTTAAATAGGAAGTTTTCTTCAAATAGGCCACTTGGTGTGTAGTTTCTATAAATACCACTACTAGAATCCCGAATTACCTTGGGTGCTAAAAAAACACAAAGGAAAATACTAGAACCGCAAAGGAAATTATCATTGACCATTAACCATCGCAACTTCCGTCATGTGTTTTATTTTTACTAACGCGGCCTTGTGTTTTATGTGTCGTCCTGACTTCCTTTAATCTTAGCAAATCTCTTGCTTCTGCAGAAGCTCCAGACTTTATTAACCAATGGTTCTTCCACTTTGGTGTGGATAGGTATTTTATTGTTATTGATGATGTATGGGAGGTACGCACCTGGGAAGCAATCGAACTCGCACTTGTTGAGAATAATCGTGGAAGTAAAGTAATCACAACTACTCGAAATGTTGATGTTGCCAAAGCATCTGGTGAGGTTTACAAGCTGAAACAACTTTCCTATGATGACTCCATGAAATTATTTTATACAAGGTTATCCAGAGCAGACCGAAAGTTCGTTGATAACCATCCAGATGACATTTCTGAGAAAATTCTAAAGAAATGTGCTGGTATACCGTTAGCAATCATCACAATGGCTAGTTTGTTGGCTGGTAAACCAGAATGCGAATGGTCAATGGTCTACAACTCTATTGGTTTTCATACTGAGATATGAGGGAAGCTGAAGATACTATGACAATACTTTCATTTAGCTACTATGATCTGCCTCCACATTTGAGGACATGCTTACTATATCTAAGTACATATCCAGAAGATTATGAGATCGAAAAGGATTCTTTGATATGGAAGTGGATAGCTGAAGGATTTATTGATGGGAAACAGGGAACAAGATTATTTGAGCTTGGAGAAAGATACTTCAATGATCTCATTAATAGAAGCTTGATCCAGCCAGTGGAGAATGAGTGGAATGGCAGAGTAGAAAGCTGTCGTGTTCATGATATGGTTCTTGATCTAATGCGTAAGCTTTCATCCGATGAAAACTTTATTGCTATATTAGGTGATAATGTTGAAGCAACACCACCACCAAGCAGTGTCCGTCGGTTAGCCAACCAAAACAGAATAGCTGAGCACATTAATTCTGAATCAATGGTTACTGGGATGCCAAAAGTGAGGTCATATACCGCATTCAAGTGTTTTATTGATAGCGAGACCAGTTTTGAGATTTAAACTTTTTGCATGTTGGACATAGTAGACTGCAGCGTTGAGAAAGGTTGCCACCTTAAGCATCTTGGTGATTTACTTCACTTGAGGTACCTTAGGATAAGATTCAACGGTAGTTCCCCTGAGCTCCCCATACAACTAGGGAATCTAAAGTTACTGCAAACACTCGATGTGCAGGGAACATTACAGCAAACACTCGATGTGCAGGGAACATTGCCAGCAAGCATTGTGCACCTAACAGAGCTGGTCCGGCTATGTGCTGACAAAAAGGTACCGGTTGGGATTGGGAAGCTGGTTTCCTGGAGGAGCTAAGAATATTTATTGGTTGCAGAGATAAGCCCAAGAGATTTTTTTCAAGGAGCTTGCCAGCCTGCGAGAACTGAGGCTGCTTAAATTTAGCACTTATGATGGGGCGGACGAGAGCATGCAGAGAGATTTTGTGGAGTCTCTAAGCAATATGCAAAAGATTGAGTATATAATTGTGTACGATTCACCTTGGCTTGCGGATACAGCCATGTGGGAAGCAGCAGGCTTTGTGCTCCCACGACCTCTCCATTATTTGGGATGGCATGCAATTAGATTGTCCAAATTGCCGTCATGCATTAATCCCAAAAGTCTTCCCAACCTGGCCCACTTGGAGCTGTTTGTGACTACTATGGATGAGCAGGATCTGAAACTCCTTGCTAGGTTGCCGGCGCTCTGTTATCTCGACCTGATAACAAAGTCCACCGTAACAGCAAGCAATATTAACTCCAGTGATAGCTGCTTCTTCCAGAAGTTGACGCACTTTGCGACCAATGCAATGGTCCTGTTTGAGCAGCCCGACGAGGAGGACACTAGCGTTTCATTGCATATGTGGAATGGAGAGGATGCTATGCCCTTTGCCTCTAGAAAAAACAATGACTCCAGAAAAGTTATACCCTCTGACGTGATGCCAAATCTTGAAGTGCTACATTTTAATTTCTATTTGCATTGGCACGGTGGCTACCGTAGGAATATTGGCTTGGAGTACCTGCCTTCCCTTCGGGCACTCAGAGGGCAGATCGTATGTGAAGACATGCCTGTTGCGGAGAGCGATGCTGCTTTGGCTGCACTGAGAGACGCATGCAACGCCCATCCTAACCATCCCACGTTTGATATGCCTATATCATATTATCACGGTTTTTTCGCTTGATCAAATCAGCTATGCTTATCATCCATGATACGGTGTTTTTGTCTCACAACAAAACAGCATCAGGTACGACGAAAATTTTGTAGTTCCGATCAAATTAATATCTCATTATTTGTTTCTATCTTGTTACAGTTCTGTTTCTATTTTGGCATATATTATATACATACAGCACTTGCTTGTCTCTACTCAATTAATTATTAGCTTTATCCGAATTTTCAGCTGGAAGACGATAATAATGTGTCCTAAAGAGATACGAATTTGAATCTGCATGCCTACAGTGTATGTAAGTACTCTCTCCACCCTGTTCTGTTGTATCCTAGCTGATGGTGTCACTGTTGCTGCTCGTGCGTGTCAGCCATTTGAGTGCTTCTGAGTTTTTGGGAGTTCACGGATTTTGAAATTAGGTTAACCTAATTTCCGTCAAACAAATAACTTTATGATTCCCGAGTCCTTACTACATAGAATGGACCGTCGCATTTCCAATAAGCAAATGCATGCATGCCGACATCTATGTTGATGTATGAATTACATTTTTGTTTCGTAAGGGCGAGTTCTAATAAGCAAATAACTTTATGCCGACATGTATGCATGAAACTACCAAACGTATTTAAGCAGATACCGATTTTTCATTGAATCCGTTATACAGCGGACGTAGGTATAGTCACTGGACCGTTCCTAGTGCCTGCACCAACTCTGTTTCTCGCCATCAGTGGATACTCTGTTTTCCACTGTCCACCTGTGAGTCTGTGACACGTCCTTCTATGATTATTTACTACGAAATAAGGACTTTTGTCATCGGATAATTTATGGTTGTAAGCGCAATATGTCAGAACATTAAGTAGAATTATTGACGAACTTGCTTTCTCTCGTAGATTAGTTTTCCGGATCCAAGTTTCTGCTTGAACCGTAATATGTACAGAAGATTAGCTCAAATGGTGTCTGTCGGCTTCAATGCTTCAGAGTCCACGTCAGCCCATCGACACAAGTTCACTCGACTGCGAGCCAAACTGTGCCGGCTCTTATGTTCACCAGATCTATTTTCTATTCGAATAAATATGCTCTATCAAAGTTTCAGTGTACTCCGCTGCTATATTAGAACCTGCTGCAATATTTTTCTCCATGCTGAACTGCTGGCTTATATTATTAGTTTAGTTTCTCGACCTTTTTTGTGGTTCGTACATTCTAATAAGCTTGGAACGTATTTATGTTGCGCGAAAATTTGAGGAGGCTTTATGTGTTGCTTGCATTGCCTCATTGTGCCTTTTTGCATTGCCGCTGTCCGGTTTCCACACGACGCATTTGCCCGCTGGGATGCTGGATCCAGGCATATGGAACAAGAGAATCCTGCCATGGAGCCGGCAGACCAGGTAGAGGTCTCTAGAGTCTAGACTCGGCACGATCCAAAAAATTTAGCTGCGTCATGGCCATGGCTAAGCACCTAAGCCTACCAGAGCCGCGCCGCAGATTAATTAGCCGCGGAGACGAGACACGGAGGTGGATAACAGCCGTTCCGTTGGTATGGGTCTTCATCCCGTGGGCCTACAGTTCAGTAACAAATGTAATTGCTGGCCTATGGGCCACGTCGCCCCGTGGCGAGAACAGCAGGCCAATGGGTATGTGCGATATATACTCATTGCTCAAAAAATAAAAAGACGTGTGATATATACTCACTATATAATAAGTAGGATGCTGCTAATCATCTACAGATCTTCTATATAACACACAAGAGAAATTGAAGTGGACTGGAGAAGGAGTCAAGCTGAAAACTTACAAGTACTGTTTTTCCGGGTGTTAGAGTGGTTATTCCTAAGTCACAACTTAAATAAAAAGGGTTTGCTCAGTCTCAATTACAGAGCATATTCCATATATAGTTTAAACTGGATGGAAATAGTACTTTCTCCGAAAATATGTGGTGGAAAGCAAAAATACACAAAGTCCAAACCGGTGTCAGGAAAAGGCAACCCATCATCTACGTACATTCATTTGGGGTCTCATCTCTTGATCTCAAGTCTATTGAGCATTTGTTTTTTGGGCTGCTGCCAACTCTTTGTCGCCGTTTAGAATGTCAAGAACCTCCGTCATGGTGGACAGTCTGCTGGATTCTAGAAGGCCATCTCGCAAGCCTCCCTTCTATCGATCTCCTCGGCCACAACCCGAGTCGAGAGTTCATTCGATGGAGGAGGGAACCCATAGGCATCTTCACCATTCTCTTCCTTAATGGTAAATCTTGGAGTCCTAACGTAGAACCAGTAGCGGTACCAATCGTTGCTCCAGCGATTACGCTGAGCATAAGCAATCAAATACCTTTTCCAGGCCTTTCGAAAGTCCGCTTGGGCATAAAAGGGTACAAATGGCAAACTGCTCCTCCTTCGTCAAGCCCTTGACCGTGATCCGCTTCAGCTGACGCTGAAGCTCATAATGCGCGCAAAAGCAGTCAATATCAGCATCCGACATTGAAGGTGAGGCTTGCCCAATAGAACTTTGCCAAAGCCAAAATCCCATTTGGAGTCAACTGATGCAGTTGCATAGAGAAGGCCTCCAGCACATCCTTCACAAACCTTACCCATGGCAAGCGCAGGGCCACAATAAAGAAAGTCACGTAGGCACAGACTCACCCTTCGGAGCTGTAGCCCGGCCTTCGGCAAACCATCCAAACTCAGCTTACTTCTTCACATCCACCTCAAAGGTGAGCGAAGGACCAAACTCGAAAGCCTTCGCATATTCAACCTTGCCTTAGCCAGTCTTGCTACCGCCTTTGATTAGATCCTTAGGGATGGCCTCAACATCGCTCAAAGCTCTTCCAAATGTTGAGCCCTCGCACTCGCCATCAAGGATTGCTCGAAATACAAATTCCACTCGTGAACCTTCACGTTAGAAAGCCTAGACCAAGGACCACAGCCACAAAATGTAGCCACTTCCAACAAACGCGATGAAGGATCTCTAAAAACAAAGGCAGAAACAAAAAAGGTGGATCTTTAACCGCAGGGAATGCGATAGGGGGTGCCTCCGATCTACCACCCAAATACCTTTAAACAGTACCCCAACTAACGGTCCAACTTCCACCTTGTCACGGTCAAACTCCTGTCCATTTGTTTCATCAGTAAAACATTAAGGAAACCAACCACTTCAAAAGTGAACGCGGCGCAAGTCTGACACAAGAGAGCCCGGTGAGGGAGGTGCTAAGAGAACCCTCGGACTCGAAGGCAAGCGTCAAGATTGGAGGATCAGGCTCACATATGTCAAACCTCACCCTCGAAGAAGGAACTGTTGGGGGAGCGAAGCCTCCGGCCTAAGGGTTTGCTAACCACGGCTAACAAACGCCATGCAGTGTGTCGTGAATCCGGGGAGCGCCGACGAAGGCAAGATGGTCCTTCGATGAGTACTGCATGAGTCGAGCCCACCTGAGCCAGGTGGCGAAGGCAAGGAGAAACTTCAGTGGGGACCCACGTGAGACGAAGCGGCAAGCTACTTGGCGAAGGCAAGGCGGACCTTCGGCAAAGGATCCGTGCAAGCCAAAGCGGCGGAGTGACAGATGAAGGCTAGGTGAGTCTACAGCAAAGACTTCCAGGGCGAGCCTTCGTGTTGAAATCCCGAGGATCCCAAGCAGCCTCGCGAGAAACCAGTAGGCTAAGCCCATCTTCATTTCTTCTAGAGACAATAGGCAACAGGTCCGCCAATTACTGGAGAAGGAAGCCCTTGTAGCAGAGGCCCATAAATCAGGCTCGACTACTTGATGGTCCGAGGGTTTTGACTCGACAAGGGCCCAATAGAGAAGGTTGTTGTGTATGTAAATGTTCGCGTGCCCTTAAACCCGGCTTGATCCGCTTCTTTTTTCATCCGGAACAGTGTTTTTCTCTCACAAATTCCTCCAGCATTCCTCCAAACCATCCAAATTCCTCCAAAATTCCTCCTGCCGAACACCCCTGTTGTGCTGCATGCATTGATTTTTTACTAATGTCCTTTAATTTTTTCTTTTTAATTTATTTCGTTTTACTTGTTCTCTATTCACTACTACAGGAATCAATTTGCGCAGCGTGGCCAAAATGGGCTCCGTGGCGGGCACCTCTTTTGCCCGCCACGGTTAACCGGTGGCCGGCCACCGAGGCCAGCCACAGAGGCGCCCGCTGTGGGAAAAGGGTTTACCGCGGTGGGCCACCTTACTTGCCCGCCAGCAGAATATTATTGCACATGAGCGGTATAAATCTCCCTTGCATGTTATCGATCTACCGTGGCGGCTCTTTAAACCGCCTCACGCATGGTAAAGCCTGTACAAATACACAGCACCACACCTTCATCTTCTCCACAGGTCTTCCTCTCTCAAACTCATGGGGGGAGGCTTTGCCCTAAAATTTGAGGAAACTTTTGATTTGAGTTGAAGGGCTTGGATTTGAGAGAGGAGGACATCATAAGAGGTTCATAAAGGCTCTCCCTCTCTCCTTCCATCCTCTCTCTCTATTTCCATCACCTAGAGTTCTCTCTAGATCTAGATCTAGATCAATTTTAATGAAAAAAATGATGTCATGTATTTCTTTAACTTTAGATTCATCATAGATGCATGCTTCATCTTTCACATCGTCATTTCCTCTCTTTTTCAAGATTTTGGACGTAAAAATCATCAATTTCTCCTAATTCTTCTTTATTTGTTGATTGTGACGGATAATGTTCGCAGGTATGATGGATAGGTCGGAATGGATGTACCGGATCGATAGAGTGAATGATCCGTGGTACCTCTTTGAATTAAGGAAGTTTATTGCTGCTGGTAAAGCTCACCGTGAGAGACTGAAGCGGATGACAACCATATGTCCATGTTCTCGTTGCAAGAACCTGAAAGCCCACCGAGACAGCGAGGTGCAAACTCATTTGATCATGTATGGTTTCGTCGAGGGCTACACAGTCTGGACATTTCACGGCGAAAGAGTTGGTGTGAGTGGCGGTGCATTTGGAGTGAGCTCTTCGACGCCGACGACGACAGCACCACCGGTGAATAAAGATCTTTTAGGAGCACCCGGCTCCTCATCATCATCTTCAAAGATAGCGGCCTTGCCGACCGATAGTGACAACAGTTGTCGTGATTACATCACGGTGGATGATCTAATGCAAGACATGGCCGACGAAGCCAGCGACGGTGGGGATGGTCAGGATACTGTGAGCCAACCCGAGGATGTGCAGCTTGTTGAAGATCTAGTCAAACACTTCGATGAAGGCGACGTTGTGTTGGGTTGCCCAAAGTGGTTGGAGAATTTCAGAGAGTTGAAGCAGGCGGCAATTGATCCTCTCTATAAGGACGGCGGCGATTGTCCGAAGGACTACACGGCGCTTCGTTTTATCCTCCATATGTTGATGTTAAAGGCTCATCATGGTTGGTCTGACACTAGCTTCAATGAGTTGTTAAGCTACC